ATTGGTTTGCCACTGTGGTGTAATAAGACATTTGATTTCTATAATCAGGAATTTTCCAAACTTGAAATTTTAAATTTACGTTCAGACATGCTAATAAAGTAATATTCTGAACGCTATAAAACATTGCTTAAAAAGTAGACAGTTTAGTTAGTGAGGGTCATATTTCTTCATTCCACTTCAGTAACAAGATCAACAAATTCTATAGCAGCATAATTTATTCTTCTTTCTCCAGATAATGTATAAAAATCCATTATTTACTGATTTGGCGTGTAAACATGTTTTCCCCCTTCCTACTTAGATGAGTCTCCATCACAAGTAAACAACTTCCACAAACATGTGGAGGTTCCCCAAACACTATTTTTAGTTTTATTGTGTTTTAGTATATTATTTCTTTCTTTACTATTTTATATTATTACTTTATTATTATAGATAGCTAAATTGAGGATTTGCAAGATAGTTCCATAATAGAATTACAGAACACCCTATTGGATTCTGTTTCTCTTAATTTAATAAATACTTATTGTATTCTATAAAATTCATTGTTCATATATTATCCTAGTAATCATTATATTATCATTGTATATTATCATAGTAATTATCATCATAATAATTCTAGAACATGTTGCTCATTTGTCAGGTAGCAACACATTCTGAGCCTTCTCTGTGAGAGGAACTATGCTAGGAGCTCTGCATTGAGCAATCTGTGGTTTCAAAGAGTTTACAGTTAAATAGAAGAAAATAAGTGAAAAAATATATATAGGTGCCATTGTAGAGCTAAGCACTAGGATGCTGTTGGAAGCACATTGAAAAAACTCATTGCAGTAGGAAGTCATGTCTCAATAGCTCAGTAGGTTGAGTCTGTGTGAAAGGACCAGATCAAGAGACCAGTGTGGGTTGATTACCAGTTCCTGACTCAAGGGTAGGATCATTCACAGACTAGGCAACAGAGGAAGGTATACAGATTTAGGCTGGGAAGGAAAGTTCCCTGAGTTCATTTTCAGATATTTCATGTTTAATTACCTGTGGGATATGTAGATGGTGAAGTCTAGTAAAACATAATGGGTAAGAATTCTAGTGAGAGATACTGTATCAGCCATCCCTGTATTGGTACTGAAAGCCATAAGATCACTTAAAATCAATAAGAAGTAGCAGGGAAGACTTGCCTTCATGTCCCTTTCTCTTTCCATTTGGTTTCATTCTTTACATTGAACACTGTTTTTTTTACTTACATTTTCAGCCATACTTGGCCTTATTTTTCAAAAGATATGGAGTAGTCTGCCCAAGAGCATTAAATTAGAAATACAGAATGATAAAATTAGACTGTAAGAAATTAGGTAGTGTGAACTATCAGAGCTTGCCTAGTTCTCAAAAGAAAAACTTAGTGTAAACCCTCAGGTTTACACTAAATAAAGTAAAGTTAGTCTGGAGGGGTTGAATCATGTGATATTCATCCTACTGATGGACTGACTTGATCAGAGGTTTGCATGATATTCATAGAGGACTTTAAGCATAATGTGTGTTAACTTGGTTCTTTTTAATAGAAGTTGGTAATGAATAGGGCAAGGTAGTAACTTCTAGTGATGGCCTGGAGTCCATATATTCTTTAGTACAGTCACTTGCAGATCTGTCTTAGAATTGTAAGTCATCTATGAATTCAATAGTATTTTTTCTTTATACACATGATGTTAACTTTTACTAGATGGAACAATGCTTTACTATAGATTTGTGGTAATTTCAAATGGACTGAAGAGAGTTATTTTATCCTTGAGACAAGACTTGCTATTATTCTAAGCCAGTAAAGTTACTGGTCTGTGGCTAGGAATTGAGATCTAGTATCATGCAAGTGCCCTGCTCTTCACCTAATGAATTGGTAAGAATAACAGGTTTGGACTAAAGATAATAGTCATGGATGTTGCCCTTTTGCTTGATACTCGTTCTGAAAATAGTCAAGTTTCCAAGCTCCAAAGGATCATATTGGAGCCCAAACCATCATCTTCTCAGTGGGAGCATGCCTTGGAAGTTTATGTTTATATTTGGAAATTGAAGCCACATTTTGTACAATGAAGAAAAATAAGATGAAATTTTGTCCTTTGTAGCTAAGTCAATAAAAGTTACAAACATACTAGAATGACTTCTAACACTGCTTCCAACACAGTGTTGGGATGAAATAAAAACCACCAACATACAGATGTAGGGCTAATATTTGGCTGCTACATACTGGCATAACCCTGCTGAGTACTTACAGCCAATGGCCATTCAGATCAGCTGGAGTGTCTGATGTGTTAGTGCCTGTGCCCTAGAGTTTGTTAAATAATTTTCATATCATCTTTTATAAACAATTGAAGGGTATTCAAGTGTGGGGGCAGAAAGGGTGTTGGTAAGAGTTAGAACAGAGTTTCTTTCTGTGTTAGATTCCTCTTGCTACTGGTTTGGAAAATAGTCAAGTTTCCAAGTTCCAAGGGATCATATTCAAGCCAAAACTATCATCTTCTCAAGTGGGAGCCTGCCTCTGAAACATTTGCATTTTATGTTTCTTAGTCTAAATATCTAATCCTATACCATAATTCCCAACCCAATTTAAATGTCCCTTTTCCACAAACCTTCCTGGAACAATGTTCATGTATTTCCACACAATGTCTATGTCTTTTTCCAAGTGTGTTTATCTACACATCTTGTACACCAGTCATTGTCTAGCTTGCAAGAGTTAAAACCATCACCACTCTCCACTAAGAAAGTATGTTTTTCAGTGTGGTTTGAATATACATTCATTCATTTGATTCTCACAACTTCAATATAGTTTTGGTATAATTATCTACCTTTTTGCAAACTAGAAGCTGGAGCAGGGAGAGGTTAAGGAACATTCCCAAGGTCCAATTTCTCTATAAGTCCAATTTGGCATTATTTTAAATGTTGTTTAGATATAATTGAAATAATAATAGAAACACTGTATGTTAAATATTTCTTTTAGAAGATTGACCTAGTAATATAAACTTCAATTTGAATATTTTAGGAAAAAGTACTTCCAGGCTTCAAACAGCTTCCTCAGAAAGACACATAGCATGGTGTTTAAAACAAAGGTTCAGAAGTTCACAACATGTGAGTTTGTGTGCTTTTTCAGCCATGTAGTAGACAGGGGACCTGGTCATATCAAGAAACCTCTTTAGCTTCCATTTCTGAATTTGTAACATGGGGTTAATAATAGAACTTATGTCCTACCCAGTAGTGAGATTTGTCACAAATGCCACCCTCAGGCTTAACACTCAACCTGACACATCCTGGTGACCAAGAGATGCTGGTTATCATCTTTTAATTTACACACTTGGTGACTACCCTCCATTTGAGCATGGGAACTACATGTGTCATTCTTGAAGAAAAGCTGTTTCATAGCTTTGACAAATGATAATCCCTCACCCCTTTTCCTTTCTTACTCCAGCTAGGTCTGGGAGAATGCCTCGTCAGCAAGGAAAAGAAGAGGGAGAAAGCAGATGCCAGTGAAAGACAGGCCATCTGGGCCAGTTTTCAGATCCTCCTGGGCTTTCAGAGGCCCTTTCTTATCTTATTTTACTTGAACACATATTGAAAGCTCTTAATTCAAAATAACTGGTACTCAAAACTCTTTTTCTAGGCCAAGAGATCCTCTAAATCTATTGATTGACATTATATACTATTTTGGATAATTCATTGTGCATTCAATTTTGTTTGCATTTAGATAATGTACGTACATTTACATTAGATAGAAATGCAGGTAAATACTAACATTTTCAAGTTTCATTAATTCAGCTACTTATTTTATGCCTATTTTGTGGAAGGCACCATGCAAAGTGCTGAGGTTGTAATGGTGAAAAAGGCAGGTGCATTATACTTTGAATATAATGAGAAAGAATGATGCCAATCAAATAATCACACAACTAAGGAAAGGATTTACACATTTTGAAAAACGGTATGATTCAAGGAACTGGATGCTGTGAACGAGTGTATATGAAGTGCAAGATCTACATTAAGTAGAACAGTTAGCAGAGACCTTTCTGAGTAAATGACATGTAAACCAACCAAAGTAGGAGAGGGGATCTTGAGCACACAAAAAATGGGATAGAGGGAAGGCATTCCAGGCTGAGAAAGTAGCGTGGCCAAAGGCACCAGACAAGGTAACATTCTGGAAACTGGGGTTATTTCAGTAAGACTGATATATATTGAACACAGAATGGAAGCCATGGTAAGAAGTGTTGCATTTATTTTAACTTCCGTGATATTTAGGAGGTTTAAGCAGAGGAGTCCTATGATCCAATTTATATCTTAAAAAATTTGTGTGGCAATAGTGTGTCTAATGAATGGACAAAGTCAAGCCAAGCTGAGAAACACAAAGGTATATTGTTTGGTCCTGGCAGGAGGTAACTGTAGCCCAGATGAGAATAGGTTAGAACTGAACTGGGGATCGTAAGGGAAAACAGGTTATGTATGTGCTAGACAAAAATCCAAAAGTTTGTATTTCCTCTTCCTCCTATGATTTTAGTATTTATGACACTGTCATCTGTATGTGGTTACAATTTCCCACCATTTGAGTAAAGCATTTCTGTATGTTTTTGACATGAAGGGGGGAATCCCTTACTCAGATTTTAAGATCATTCATTGTAGATGATCATTGCTCTTGTTAAAATACTTCTACATTTCATTTATTCATTTACTCACCCACCCATCAAGTACTTGAGTGACCTTTAAAAGTCAAAAATGTTGTCTGATTTGTTATAGTTGTATGTTTTATTGTTTGTTTTACATGTTAACAAAAGTTATCTAAGAAAATGGCACCATTGATTTTACATTCTGGGGTTTCATCACTCTCACTGTTTTAAGACAATAAACTCATCTTATTTATTTCCTTAAATTCCTTCTTTCTAATGAGCAATGATGTTTAGATAGTTTTCTTCAGAATTTTAAGTGGAATTTAGGAAATGTTAAATAGCAGGTTCATCCCATATGCTGTTAATTCTTGTATTTTCCAATAGAAAAAAGAAAAAGCCTCTGTCATGATACAGAACAATGCTTATGCAGTGGCTGTTGCCAATTATGCCCCGAATCTTTCAAAAGATCCAGTTCTCTCCACCATCTCCAAGAGTGCAGCCACGCCGGAACCCAACAAGAGGCCGGAAAACAAGCCAGCTGATGCCAAGAAAACCTTCAACAGTGTTAGCAAAATTGACAGAATGTCTAGAATAGTTTTCCCAGTTTTGTTTGGTACATTTAATTTAGTTTACTGGGCTACGTATTTAAACAGAGAACCTGTATTAGGGGTCAGTCCTTGAGTCTAGATGCAGATTATCTTCGGGATATATAGCAACATTAAACTTGGTTTGTTTTGCTATGTACAGTCAGACTAATAACTGCTAATTTGTGAACCAACATGTACAGTATGTATATAGCGATATATAGCTTACCAGTAGACCTCTAATGGAGACACGCATTTGCTAACTTGTGGAACTGCAGGCAGAAAGCACCCCATGTCCAAAGAGCCATTGCCTTTTTAACAGATTTACCCTAAGGATTGATTTAAAGTGGATTGCAGAGGACCTGATTTATTTACTGTTCTAATAGTGCTGAGAATGGGGATCCTATACCACACTTTACGGAACCTTTTGATGTAGGTCTTAAGTAGGAGTCTTTTCTACTGTTGCCTAACTATAATGTAAGATAGCACTGTCGTTCCAAGGTGAATTCTTCTCAATAACAGAACCACATATCTGCAACGTCATTTATTTTCCTGAGTGCTCAGAATCCCTGCTAGTGTAATTGGAAGCTTAGCACACATCAGAAGACAAACTAGGTATCTGAAATCAACTTTTAATTACTCTGTATATTATCTATAGTCATGCACATAGTACAGCATGACAAGCTCAAATAATTATGAGTCCCTCCTGACAGGTTGTTAATTATGCCTAGAATTTAATAATTATCGGAATGTCATGGTCATTACATTTTTAGTATCAGTGTTTATTTGAAAGTAATAATTGAAATCCTACAGATCATTTAAATCATTGGAAACTACCTGAAATTTTAAACAAAAGACATTAAATATGTCTTACTATTCCCAGGTATGTGTCGTATTGAAATTGATCAGCTAAATTTTCTTGGTGCTGGAGTCTGGAAAAAGCATCCAGTTTGACTGCTGTGGAGCAACATTCATATTGGATTAGAAATTTGTGCCAAAAACTCCCACCGATGAGAATTCATAGGTGTCACAGCATATAGATGAGCACTTATAAGATTCTCTTCTTTCCTGTTTACTGCAAATTCTGCCTTAAGCTTCTTTTCATCAGGATTCAGAAGCCACTAATTACAAAGGAAAGGGCAATTCATTGGCACATTTTTCTGTCTTGAAAGGAGCTCTTTCAGATAAGAAATAATGTAAATCTGCTTTTGTAAATCGCAACTTTAAATTTTGCCGACTCAAATTTACAACAGCTTTGTATACCAGAGAGGTTTTGGTAAGAGTTGAACATTTTTAAACTGAAAATTTAAATCATCACCAACAGACTATGGATTAATTAGTTCACATGCACAAACACACACACACACACACACACACACAATTAGCTAAATTAGAACACACAAATGCTAGCTAAATTAGAAACCACAATTTTCAATTTTATATAAATACTAATTCTTAATGGGTAAAATTCATTTTTCTTTTAATATTTAAGAAGTACTCATTATGCCCCTGAAATATGTTAATAGAAGTTAAAGACTGTGTCTCATGCCTAGATTCAATGTTTTTGGCAAACTTAAAATCCTTTGTCTCACATATACATTAGCAGTTATTAGTTGACTTTTACTAATAGATACACCTTTATGATGGTGTTTTTGTAGAAACATAAGTAGTCAAATAGTAGCATTTCTTGCAGTTTTGTACAGTATTTCAGTATAGTGCATAAACAGGTACATTGAAAAAAATCAATAAAAGGAGTCTCTTATGGAAATAAGCAAAACCACATCAAAAATTGCTATTCCATTGCCTCCTTTAAATTTTATTTTTTTCATTTTCTTTGATTCTGTTGTGTGATTCTATTATGTGCTTTGCATGATTGTATTACTACCAAGGTCACAAATACATCTTATTAACAGAATTTGCCATGAAGACAGCCTTGACATTAAAAACTCTCTCTAAAAAGGTAATCCATAATCCTTAAAATTGTTACATGAGCCAATAAATGTCCTCCTTTAACAACCTTCTAACAACACTTTCTTTGTGATCCAAATAATTTTAATATGTGCACTTTATTCAGATATCAAAATGTAAGTTATCCTATTTTCTTACATGTTTAAATATAGCATAGCTTGTCTGTATAGTTTAGGAAAGTGTACAACAGTTAAAGTACATAGTGCTTGAAGCAAGCAATAAAAATGCTTTGTATGGTATGGTATGGATTATTAGCACACACTGTAAAATATCATTATTTAAAAATGAGTTCTGCACTCCCCCTTATGTCTGACTATAAGCTATGAATGTATAAATATGTACATATCAAAACTAATTGTAAATAGCAGTTTATAAAGGGACAATAGGAAAGACTCATCTGTACCTTTGGCAAAGGACTGCACCTACACTGATGGCACCAGTTTCATTAAAATTTATAGCAGACTGAGCAAAAAGCTATTATTGTTATGCTTATTTTTAGTTACAATTGTTAAAATTTTATTTGAGCTGATGACATCCTGACAGTTCAGATTTTCAAATAATGTGGAAAATAATATGGAGCAGGATTTTTCTGTTATTTCTCTAACTTCAGTATATTTTTTACACACTTCTTAAGCTTTTAAAGTTTAGATAAATCGAAGGGAGCTCTTGGTCTTGCTGGAGAGAGGGAGGATGCTCCATAGGAAAGGATTTTAAATTGTAGAGCTATAGTCTTTACAATTTTTCTCTCTTCCATAAACTACTTTAAAGACACACAAAAAAGAGACATGGATTTATTAAAATAAGCCTAATTTTTCAGGAAGCATATTTTTAACAGATTAACAGTGGTTTCTTTGGCCTATAATATTATGCCTATTTTACGCAGTTGTACATTGACAAAGTGTTATGGTATGTACAAAATGTAGATAAATCCATGTACATATATAGAGATATAATCTCATTATTATACAGCTACTGCTTTGATTCAGCTAGTATTTATTCAACAAATACCTTTCTAACTCTTACTAGGTACCATGCCATGAAGATCATATTAATACCACTCATTACCACACCCACAGAGTTTAGTTAAAAATGTAAAGTGCATCTCATTCCTATGAAACTTAACATCAAAGACTAACTGGAACATATAAATGAATTTAGCCCTGACAGTTATTTAATAAGCTATGAGATCACTAGGATACTAAGATGGCAGCTGTTTTGCTGTTTTCTCCTAACCATGTTCCTATTTGTTTGAATATAAAAATTGTACTAATATGATCATTTAATATTTTTTAACTTTAGTTATTTAAGTGCCAATCTTAAGGCTTAGCAGTCTTCAGGGATTTATTTTGAATTTATCTCAGGTTTGGATAAGTGATCCCTTAAGCCACATTTCAGTTTCTTTTTCTTAAATAGTTCATAGTTTATTTAAAAAGAATACGGAAGCCATTACTGTTCTCAGTTTTCTTTGATATATATATCATTTGTTTATGATGTAGCTCTTTTTATATTACAGGTTGAGAGAACTGAACTCATATCATAGATAAGAGAGGGACCCCAAAAGTCTATGGATTCTGCCATAACTGTATTCTGGCACTGCCTGTCATCATTCCGATGGAAGGACAGAGATGTATACAAGGAATGTAAAGGCCTGGTCCTTCAGCATCTATTAAGATTTTTTTTCATGTGCTTCTCCAAAAAAAAATTTATTTTTCCTTTAAATAAGATCTCATAGGCATCTTGGGCTTCCCTTTTATTAATCCAAAGTATAGACAGGCACACGTAAAGTGAAGAGAGGTATCATATTTTTAACATCTGCATTTGGGGGAACAGGGAGACCATATCAAAATCACTCATAACAGTGTAATCAAGACAAATTATGATGTGTTTTCTCTTGAATTCCCACTTTAAAAATAAAATTCTATAGTTTCCATAATTGTGTGTTAACATTTATATAAAAGATACCAATATTTTCCATTCATATTTAAGCACTCTTAATCAAATTCAAAAATAAATTCAGGACCTCAAAAACAGGGAAAGAAAAATAAAATTTAAAAAAAACACCTACTGGAAAAATAAGGCTTGTTGCTAACTAAAACTAGTGAAGTATTTTCCCTTTTTAACTCCTAAGAAAAGGGTGAAATATATCATAAGTATATACAAACATATTTAACAGTCATGATTCTATCAAGGTAAGCATGATGATTAAAATACTAAAATAGATGAAGTGCATGTGAAGGCCTTTGGGAAAGCTAATAATAAATTATTCAAAAACTATTTCTTATAAGATTTTGCCTCATCGTGTTTTTGTTGAAAATTGTTAATTAACCAAAGTATTTAGACCACTGTTTCAACCTTATTTGGGTTAAATATTCTGTTTTTGTCTGTTTATATAAAGAACATTTTCTTATGTTTGTTATTATATACCCCACTTCAAACTACTCTCTCTGTTGTAGCTCTAATACATTACATCAGTTAATATTGCCAGCCGGAAAGAACAGCTACAGGCTCATGTTTCATTTATAGTAATATTCCCCATGAACCTTTAATAAGGTTTTAGGTTTGATTAGAAGTGTATGTATGTGTGTGTGTATTGTCCAGGTATGAAAGAACATTTTGAGAAATTCAGACAAATTTTTGAGCTCTAAACTATTTATTAATGGGTCTAATCCCAAATATAGCTCTTATAAAACTAGCATTTAACTTATTAGTCAATAGAATAGTTTTTGTGAAAGATCCATAACAAATTTATTAATTGGAATTTAGTCTTAAGGCATACTTATAGTTAGAAGTAGTCTGCTTTAAAGGTGTAAATATTTCTCTGATATATTTCTACTTGGCTCTCTTAAGCCATTAAATTCAAAATGATATCACAATTCTGCCTGTAAAGTAGAAGTGAAAAATCTTTGAATTCCAAATTTCTCAATGGAAATTTGTGAAAGCCTCCATTAAATTAAATATCTCATTGATCATATGCAAGTACAAAGTCAGCTATATTCATTTATGGCTAGTTTCATACCTTTTAATTGAAACGGTTCTGAATATATTCATATATGGAGCTCCTCACATGTTTGGCCAGTCTCCTAAGCCCTTCACAGTCCTCACAAAAACTGTAAATCACTGTGTGATTCTTGAAGTTCTGAAACTTTAGAATTTCTATATAATACACCAACACAATAGTTTAACACATATTTTAAGCAAAAAACACCCCAAAAAACTCTATTTTTCATTGCTTTAATTCAAATTTATATTCATACCTTTTGGGGAGCATTAATCCGTTAAGGCCACTATCTGCTTTTCTATATGAAAAAACAAGCAAACAAGCAACACTAATCTGTACGGCAACCAAGAATTTATTTTTGTGAAACTAGCTATTCACTGAAATTGGTTATAACAGTTTCTAAGAATACACTGTGTTTTTCTTTTTTGATCTATAGATGATAATGTATTAAAAATGCTTGAAGTTGATTAAGCATTCAAAGGTAATACACACTCTTGCCCTCTGTTTTCTCATTTTTTTAAATTTTGCTAGTTTGTTAGGAGTTGGAGAGGCTTTGTTTTCATTTGGATATTTTTGATTTCATGATATTTAAACCCATTGGACTCCAAGGATTATGATGTATTAAATTAATCAGCTTGTTATAAATTACTCTTTGTAGAAGCTTAACCTGACCCCAAATAAATACCAGTGTTGGGACTGTAAGGGTTGAATTAGCTTAGCTGGTGTGAAAATTTCAGTTTTTCATGCTTTGTTTTTAAGATTTACTTTACCATAACAAGCTGCCAAATGCAATCTTATATTAGTGGATAAATATCAGTACCTCCAACAAAATTTATTTGTGAAAACAAATGGTATTAGGAAAGCAAAACAAAGGAGTTAGACACTGAATTACTTTAGGGATATGGCTTACAGATTTGTTCCCTGTTACTTATTTTTAAAATATTCAATATAGGAGTTGAAGCATTTGGCTGCGCTTTAAACGTGACAGTTTTCCCAAATTAAATTTTGCCATCCATGGATAAATTTGATTGCTTGTTGATCATGGGTACCAGCTCCATAATTCATTTCAAGTTTGCTGGTTTCTCATTTTTTCAAGGTTCTTCTAAGCAGCACAGGTTTTGGTGTGCTCCAAAGTGAGGAATATAACCTTTTATGAAGTATTCCCTTTAGAGGTGACATGCATGGAAACTTAAAAAAGCTTTATATTTATAGCTAAATTTGAAAAGAAACAAAAAAGGAATGCAATAATTTCCCCTTGCTACACATTAATAATAAAATTACGTGCATGGAGCATGCATGGTAAAACCCCAACACTGAACTCTGGATATTTTTTTTTATTAAGTGAAATTTGATATTTTCTGAGTGACAGTATGCTTGTATGGTAGGTTTTCTGGTTTGAGAAAATCATTTGGGAGATAATAATTGTAATTTGTGACCTTGTTATAATTGAGAAAAGTCACTATTTTTCATGTATGTAAGATAATTTGAACTTTACTGAATTTGTCATTATGCTTGCTGTTTAAAAAATGTTCCTTATTAATCACATGCAAGTTAATGCTAAACATTATTTTTTTGTACTTATTAAAATTAATTTAAATATATTTGGTCTTAAAATTGTGGGGTATTTTTTATTCATTACAAGAATTAAGTTTATTGTAAATCTGACTTTATATGTTGGGACATAATATTGGTATTTTGTAATAGTGATTTTAGATTTTGTTAGTTTCTTAAACTTCTTTTTATGATAAAAACTTAACAGGGTTTTAGGAAAAGTGTAAATCTGCCCTGAAATTTGAGAGGCAGGGTTCATTAATTGCTGATGTAGATATAAGAAAGTGGTGCTATGGAAAATATAAGTTCACTGAGAAAATTGGCTTATCTTCTATCATAAAAAAATATTGAACAAAATAAATGAGATTTCTTTTCTTTAGTTAGACTCAAGTTCATCATTCTATTTATAAACAAGAAATCTTAACAAATTTTGTTGGATCTGTTTTCCTAATTTAATGCAATATTATTGAAATGAGCTCCTTTTTTAATTTTTAAAATTTTTTTAAAATTATTGCTATTACTGCTAACATAACTAAAATTAAATACTTTTAAATGTCAAAAAGATATAATAACAGCAATACTTATCAATGTGGTAAGTTCTCATATAATATTTCTTCACCATAGCCTGGGGAGTTTCATAAAAACATTGATCCTTACCTAGACCAAGTTAATCAGAATCTTGAGAGGAGTTATGAGAGATACTTAACCGCACCTCACCGAGTAATTCTACTCTACAACTATGTGTATATACACTTTTCATTTTATAAACCTATTCTTGGGCCGTTTTTAATCTCTGTTTCTTTTGTGGAGACCCCTGTTTACTTGTCTATGGCTACTAGTTTAGTCTGTATTTGTGAAGAATAAACAAATTGTAAAATTAAATGAATAAGTTCTTCACATAAAATAGTGAACTTAAGTGACAGTATCAAGCCTATGTAGCAAAGTATTTATTCCTGAATTTTGACTACATAAATTACTCTTACTCTTAATTTGTACCTTATAGACCTGTAGTTAATTATGAGCAATGTGAGTGTATATATCCTTTCTATCTATCTATCTATCTATCATCTATCTATCTATCATCTATCTATCTATATCTATCATCTATCTATCACTATATCTATCTATCTATCCATCATCATCATCTATCTGTCATCTATCTATCTATGAATGTATAATTGTCATTTTCAGCCTATGCTTTTTAATCAAATATTTTAAAAACCCTTTATACTAAAGTGCTTTTGCTACTATTTTAATCTATCTATCTATCATCTATCTATCTATATCTATCATCTATCTATCACTATATCTATCTATCTATCCATCATCATCATCTATCTGTCATCTATCTATCTATGAATGTATAATTTGTCATTTTCAGCCTATGCTTTTTAATCAAATATTTTAAAAACCCTTTATACTAAAGTGCTTTTGCTACTATTTTCCTGGGGGAAAGTGTGCTCAACTTAAATAATGAGGTTAGTATTCACAGATCCAGATTTACCTCTCAGTAAAATTATAGCCAGCAAAATGCTACCTGCTTAAAGAGCATGTAGCTAGTTTCTCCCTTATCAATTTATAGTCCAGGCTTTGTCAAATTCATGTAAATGAAGGCATGCTATAAATGGAAACATTTATGTCACCTTTGCTCTGAAGGCTTCAGAAAGGGAGGAACTGAGGCTTTCTCTGGAGTTAGAAGTTATTCCTCACCTTTAAAATGTAAAGCGAAGGAAACTGCTGAGAAGGCAGTAAGACTCAAGTAATAATAGTCGTTAAGACTGTTGCATTGCCAAATAGAAAAAGTTTTATATTCTCTGAACTGTGAAATATTAATTAACTTTTGGAGGTTTCAGATACAGATAGAACTTGAAAAATGGAAAACCAGATGCAAGTAGAACTAAAACCCTCAATTGCCTCTTGAGAAAATACTGAATTACAACCAATGTTTTTGGTTTAAGAAATCAGGGAAATGGGCTTTTTTAAAATTTTAAACTGTCTCCAATAAATATTTTGGAGCTTAATTATTTGTGGTTTATCTGGAAAATTCATGTGGAACACCTTATTTCATTAATAGTTTGAAATTTTATAAAATTTCTAACAGGAATTAAAGAAAAATAACCTTATAGAGAATTTCTAAATCATGTCTCAAGATGTAGAACAATAAAAAGTCATACACTAATAATTGAAGCATATCAGTTTGAGTTACCCTTGCACTCATTGTTTGAAAGCTTGCTTTACTTGCAAACTAAAATGCACATACACATGAAATGCCAAGGAAGTGGAAAAATGAGTTTCTCTATTAAAAAGTCATTATGCCTGAAAACTGGACAGCTACATGTAAGAGAATGAAACTGGATTATTGTCTAACTCCATACACAAAAGTAAACTCGAAATGGATCAAAGATCTGAATGTAAGTCATGAAACCATAAAACTCACAGAAGAAAACACAGGCAAAAATCTCTTGAATATAAACATGAGCAACTTTTTCCTGAGCACATCTCCTCAGGCGAGGGAAACAAAAGCAAAAATGAACACATGGAACTACATCAAACTAAAAAGCTCCTGTACAGCAAAGGCTACCATCAGCAGAACAAAAAGGCATCCTACAGTATGGGAGAATATATTCATAAATGACATATCTAATAAAGGGTTGACATCTAAAATATATAAGGAGCTTACATACCTCAACACCTAAAAAGCAAATAACCTGATTAAGAAATGGGCAGAGGATCTGAACAGACACTTCTCCAAAGAAGAAATTCATGGCCAACAGGCACATGAAAAGATGCTCCACATCACTAATTATTAGGGAAATGCAAATTAAAACCACAATGAGATATCACCTCACACCAGTTAGGATGGCCAACATCCAAAAGACAAGGAACAACAAATGCTGGCGAGGAGGAAGGGCAACCCTCCTATACTGTTGGTAAGAATGTAAATTAGTTCAACCATTGTGGAAAGCAGTATGGAGTTTCCTCAAAAGAAACAGAAATAAAAATATCATTTGACATAGTAATTCCACTCCTAGGAATTTACCCGAAGAAAACAAAATCCCTGATTCAAAAAGACATATGCACCCCTATGTTTACTGCAGCACTATTTACAATAGCCAAGAAATGAAAGCAACCTAAGTGTCCATCAGTAGATGAATGGATAAAGAAGATGTGGTACATATACACAATGGAATACTATTCAGCCATGAGAAGAAAACAAATCCTACCATTTGCAACTACATGGACGGAGCTAGAGAGTATGCTCACTGAAATAAGCCAGGCAGAGAAAGACAAGAACCAAATGATTTCACTTATTTGTGGAACATAACAAAGCAAAACTAAGGAACAAAATAGCAGCAGACTCACAGACCTCAGAAGGGACTAGAGGTTACCAAAGAGAAAGGGAAGGAGAAGGGAATCAAGAGGCATTATGATTAGCACACATAATGTAGGGGGTCACAGGGAAGACAGTACAACATGGAGAAGACAAGCAGTGACTCTATAGCATTGTACTATGCTGATAGACAGTGACTGCAATGGGGCTGGAATGGAATTAACAATATGGGTGGATATTGAAACCACAATGTTACTCATGTGAAACCTTTATAAGATTGTATATTAATGATATCTTAATTTTTTTTAAAGTCAACATTCAGTTAAAAATATAATGCCTATTCTTCAGCCAGCTTACAGGAAGATTTTACGGTGGGTGTGTATGGGGGTCACCCCAAAGCTTATCTCAGAATCCAGTCCTTTCCAGACAACTGAATCTCTACCTGAGAAAAAAATACTTACAGTTATCCAAGTTATTTTTTTTATACTTTATCTCATACTGATCATTACATTCCTCTTTTTTGGATATTCTGGTACCCTATCCAGTAATTATACTGAAATTTTTAACTCCTCTAGGTAACTTTAGGTAGTGATGAAGTTAAGGTAGAGTATTTTATTGAAAGTCAAATCTTGCTTGGGGAAAGTCAATATCTGAGCCAGGAGTCCTTTGACTAAGAGCAAAAACAAGTTCCAGCTAGTGTGAGCACAAAAGGCACTCAGGGAGAAGGTATAAAAGGCCTCATAGTCAGCACTAAAGCCCTGAACTCAGGGAAGTGGGACTGCGTTATGGGCTTGACTAGAAAGACTTACTTCCTATGTAGCACAGTTCAAATTTTTGAGTAAAACAGTCTGAGAGGAGCAGTTTAGTCCAGTCAGCTGTGTTATCTAGAGTAGAAAAGATCAGCAGAACTGGGACACCCCTCTGCAGGGGGATAGGAATACCCACTAAGGAGGGGCAAAGTTTAGCATGTACCTCAAAACAGGCTATTACACTCAAGATTTTTTTTACTTTGGAAAACTCCAAAAATGAAAATGAAATTTAAAAATATGTTAAAAAGATGAAAATAAAAAGACTATCATTCTCAATGCTCATATAAATTGTTGTATTTTCCAACTGATACAAATCACGTACTTAAGGATGATATAATTTATAGTTGAACTGTTAATATTTATGCATTTGAATAATGTATATAACAGAAATACAACTAATTAACATGTAGGAGAGCAAAAAACATATGTATTTCATAAATTTGGTTATATCCATCAATCTATTATCAAAATTACTCATGCTGAGTTTACATTGGGATGACAGGCCATTAATGTCACCACATTCGCAGCTGTCCCAAACAGCACAGTCCTCAAGAAGTTGGAGGTGATTGGTGGCTCAGTTAAGTGGGTCATGATTGACATTTGGGTTCCTTCTAGAGGATAATTTTATTTTATTACCAAAGGAATTTATTTGAAATTATATTCTGATAGAAAAAAGTGCCTCTTATTAGACAAGTGAACACTATGTTTCCATCACAGATGTGGGAGAGAAATATTCTCTAAGTACCCTTTTTTCCAATTTTTTTATTGTGGTAAATATGCATAATGTAAAATTTACTACCTTAACCATATTTAAATATACAGTTTAGTGGTGTCAATGCATTCATACTGTTGTGCCACCATCACTACCATCTATCTCCAAAATTATTTTCATCTTGCAAAACTGAGTATCTGTGCCATTGAACAGTAACTCCCCAAGCCCCCTTCCCTCCAGCCCCTGGCGACCAAAGCTCTATTTTTTTGTTTTTTATTTCCCTTTTTCCACCACTCCCTAGCCTCTAGTAACTTCCATTCTACTCTCCATTACTATGAGTTTAGTTTTTTTAAATCTAAAGTTGGTTTTTAAATTTTATTATTTTTATCTCCATTATAAGAGGACAAAGTTTTCATGCCACTTTTGCTCTAAACGATTCAGAAAGGGAGGAACTATGGTTTAAAAAGGCTTTCTCTGGAGTTAGAAGTTTTGTCTTCTATGTTTCTTATCC